TTTAACATTGGCAAGCTTAGTAGAAACAAAACATTTGATCAAAAAAAGTCCATTTGTTGAGCAGTAGACACATTCCCATAACCAAAGTCTAACTAGCGTTGCATTTTGAAGCACATAAAACCTGCTTTCATAGGTGATTAAGTGATTGTATAATAATAGTTTAGGAGGCAAAATTTGAAGTTGCAAATTCAGTTTCAAATAGTTTTTGGGCAAGAAAGGACATCTTATTCCCTAAGGGATTATAATTCTGTCATTTTTAGAAAAAGGCCAGTTTTCTGAGAGGAGAGAGGATAAGAGTCTCCTGTTGAGCACTGAAACTTAGGCACTCCCGGGCTGGCAGAGGAAGTGATCCAGTGCCTGCCTAGCACGTGCGAGGGATGAGGCCCTCTGTTCAAACCCAGTACTGCCAAAAGAAAAAAAAAGGCACTCCTATACAAAACCACACCAGAGACAAGGGGTCTGATAAGTGTACCCTGAAAGCACCCAACTTCCCACAGCCTCACCCCAGTGTCCAGTCCCTCACTCCCTTCAGTAAGAACCTCCTTCATTCCCTGTCTGCACCAGAACCTCCCACCTTTCCAATTTGTTCCATTCCTAGCTGGGGCTCTGGTGGAGCACAAGGGAAATGGAGACCTTGTTCCTGCCCTTCAGGAAGAAGGGTGACCTGCAGCTCAGCTCTGTCACAGGAGTCTGAGAGGGTAGAAAGGTCTCTGAGGTCCCCAGGCTGGTTTTACCTGTGCACATACACTAGAAATCATAGGTATTCAGGTCAGTAATATTTACCATTCACTAAACTTCCTGGATTAACGGGAAAGCAAAACTTCTCTCGGCCATAGTGTCTGTGCTCCTTATACCACTCTCTTTGGTACTGGCACCTCCACCTGCCAGCTACCCTCTGCCCCAACATCTGATCCAGGGCTGGGGCATTGTCTCTTCACATTCACCAACCACAGAGCTGTGAAGTGCTACAGCTCCCATCCAGTCAACCTTAGAGGCCATTAGTGCATGTCTTTGCTCTGCCAGATGCCCATTAATACCTCAGCCTAGGCCACTGTCCCTTTTGTCCTGAAGGATTTGCCCTTTATTTTACCCCACCCGTCCAGTCTCTGACTGTGGTATTCTGTGCTAGGCACCCCTTGCTGCCTCCCTACTGCCTCCTGTATTAAGTCAGAATTCCTTAGCCCCAAGTGGGGAACCCACTCCTGGGGAGCAGCAGGACTCATTCTTCTTGCCTGGGACACAGAGGGATTTGTTGAATGAGTACTTGAGCCTTTGTCTAGGCCAAGGAGTGTCTGTGTTTCATAGTACTTCTTTGTGAGGGAGGGAGAGAGAGGAAAAAAATAAACCTTCCACCTTTCTTTTTATAAGGGCACTAACTTCATCGTTAAGGCTTTCCTCTCAGAGAGAAAGAGAGAGAGAGACAGAGAAAGAAAAAGAAAGAGAGAGAGAGAATGAGAACGGGAAGAGTCAGGGAATTGCTAACTCTTGCCAAAATCTGTCATCTTTGGTACACGTAAATTTTTTAAAAATGTATCAAGCCTGGGCATAGTGAGGCATACCTGTAATCCCAGAATTTGGGAGGCTGACAGGAAAATCACTAGTTCGAGGCCAGTTAGGGTTACATAGTGATACCTTGTCTAAAAAACAACATAAAAGCAAAATAAATTTATTGAAGTGAGCTTCACAGAACATAAAATTAGCCATTTGAAAGAACCATTTGAAAGCAAACAGTTCAGTGACATTTAACATTTACATTTATGATGTTGTATAGCCACCATGTCTATCTAATTCCAGCACATCTTTATCACCCCAAAAAGTACCCAGTACCCAAGAAGCAGTAGTTCCTGCAGCAATCCAAGGTGGACGAAGAACGGGTAGTTTTATCTAGCACAGGGCTCTAAGCCAGACTTGGTTTTCCTTCCCCTGCCCCTCACCCGCCACCCCCCTGAGCTCTGGCCCCCTTTGGCCTCTCAGAGGGTTAAGTGCTGCTTGATATCATGTGGAGTGTAGGTGGAGTTTTGTGTGTGGACCTGAACTTAGCTAGGAATTTGGATCCTGCTGCAACTAGTTTTACAGCCAAACCAACACCACAAATCAGTTGGCTGTATAAAACTATAGCATGTTTAGAAATGGTTTTAAAAGTAAGTTTTTACTTATATAGGAAAGTTATTCCATGTTAGAATTCATAATGTGATAGTTGGGGCATAATCTACACAACCTTGAATGAGAAATTTAATTTTTCACTGGCCTGATTTCCTTAACTATAAAAACAAGTGGATTGGAAATCTCTTTGGACTTCCTCCATCCAAGCCATGGTGCTTAATCTTTTAAATTTGTTTACCAAGTGTTTGAAAGGTAGGGAGGTTATTGAAACATTTATTATTGATTTTAACACAACTGTGATCATTTTAAACTTGTGAGTTATCTTTCCTTTTTTATATGTTGCAGCATATCTTCTTTTAGGCCATCACTTGTCTTTTCTTCTTTTTAAGTGTATGTCACAGTGATGGAATTTAAACTTTTTGCATACTTTGTCTTTTTAAAAAAATCTGTGTTTTAAAAATGTAGTTGCATTGATTGTTCCATATATACAGCTAAATATCAATTACATATCCATTTTTTTTTGATATTACAAATTCCAGCTGATGGAATGGCTCAAGTGGTAGAGCACCTGCCTAGCAAGCATGAGGCCCTGAGTTCAAACTCCAGCAACCCCCCCCAAAAAAAAAATAAAAAAACTAAGATAACAAACTCCATGTAAAATCATATTCCTTTAAGTAGTCTAGGCATAAATGACCTATAACTAGTTAGTCATTATTACACATAAATACAAAGACAGTGATTACCGTCTTTGGGTTAAAGCCTCTTTGTTTTCAGTCTTGTGTCTTGAGGATGGATTCCTTTGGAACCTCTTGGTTGAAGAGTGAAATTATTTTAAGGTTCTTGCTTTAGGTCAATAGAACTCAGACAATTATGCTACCCCTTACTGAGTACAGGCTAGAAAGGGGCTGTGACCTGCTACTGGTGCCAGGTGTTCCCCGAATTAGTCCCTTGAATTGTAGCCCTTACCTGAAGGGCCCAGAAATTAGATTTCACTGGTATAGACATCTGTTCCCACCCCTGTCTCCCAGGTACACACATCAGCAGGTTAGTCTGTTTAATTGCAGTGACAATAAATACTAACAAGTTAATTAGGTGGAGCAGTTTTAACTCTAGAGCACTTAACCTCCTTTAGGGTGGCTACATTAGAAGTTGCTGTTGGTGGCTCCACAGGAGGGGATCTTACTGAGGTAGCTTGGGACTCTCTCACCCCCCACTCAGCAGTGGCTGGCACCCAAACAGCAGTTCTGGCCTCTCAGCTGCCTCCCTTGCCCTGGAAGGTGTAGGGGTCTCATGATCCTTGTGGTTTCTCAGCAATGTTCCATTTCTAGTCTCCTCTGGGAGCCCCTACTCCTGCAGCTTCGCACTATGGGACACGGCACACTATTTCTTCATTGGAAATAACACCTGTTCACTTTGCAGCATATGCCCATCACAGGAGTTTGATCTAAGAACACCAAAACTTTGCTGCTGTGATGTGTGAAAATGGACAGTTTGGAGCTGTTACAAGAATTCCAGAATGCTTGTTGGAAAAAAAAATTTCTCCCCCAGCAGAGTTTAAGTTGAAGCAGCCTCTTAATGGAGCCTTTCTCCTCAGGTGGTGATCAATGGAGGGGCTACGTCCAGTGGTGAGCAGGACAATGAGGACACGGAGCTCATGGCAATCTATACGACAGAGAATGGCATCGCAGAGAAGGTACCTGCCCTTTGCTGCAGTCCAGGGATCTGGTACTGCAAGGACTGTTGTCACTCTCAGGCTCTGTGTCTCTCTGCTGTGTAGGAGTGTGTCATGGGTGCATTCTCTTTGTTATGGAAATAAGTGTCATAATTACTAGCTTTTCATTGTCTTAATGGCAGTTACGATAAAACCTCATAGGATCATTATCTAGTTTACAAGCCTCAGCCCGAGAGCCAGACAGGAGTAGTTAAGAGCTTGAGGGCTGGAGTCAGGTCTGGGCGCAGATTGACCCATACTTAGCATTCTGGACATCAATTTTCTGTTCTCTAAAATGGGAATAAAAATACAAGCTAATCTTCCTAATCCAGATATCTGAAACCCAAAGCTTTTCAAGTGCCAAAACTCAGTTTTTGAAGTATTTTGGATTTCAGATTTTGAGATGCCCAACCAGCAAATATTCCAAAATCTTAAAAAATTCCAAACTCTGAAGCACAGTTTGGATAAGGGTTACCCCATCTGTATCAGCATCTGCCTCAGATCACTGTGGGGACTGAAGGAAATGATGTGCGTGAAGTTATGTTCACTGTGCCTGCTACATTCCAACAGTGCAGTAAGTAAGAGAAAGAGAACCAGCAGTAGCTTATATAGACTGAAAATACTTCTGGTGAAGCTTTTTGACCAAAGCAGTAGAAATCACATACTGTATTATCCAGCTTTGTGTCACATTTGACACAGACTACTTGTGGCTCAAAGGTCTGCAGGTTCAAGTTCAAAATCAGGTGGTCTCAGTGGGCCACTTGGCGAGGATGACTCATCTTGGCGGAGTATGAGTAGGAGCAAGTGCTCATATCTTTAGCCAGTAAGAACAAGCAGGGTCCCAAAGTCCCCTTCAAGAACTCAGCCCCCAGTGGTCTAAGGACTTCTCACTAGATCCTGCCTCTTTTTTATTTTTAAAGACAGTAATTTTGCTATGTAATTCAGGCTGGCTTTGAACTTGTGGTCCTGTTCCTTTACCTCTTGAATGTTGGGTTTCCAGGCATGGACCGCCACTCCAACTAGGTCCTGCCTTTTTAAAGGTCTGTAACACCTTCCAGTAGTGCTACTCTGGGGATCAAGCCTTTAACAGGTGGGCCTTTTGGGGACATTAATCAGTCAACTATAGCCAAACACTAAGGTGGGGAGAATATACACACACACTCCTTATATATTGTTGCTTTTGAACAGAAACACATTCCCCTGTGAGACTATAGATTCTGTCATGGTGTTGAACTGTCCTTTGTGTAATGAGCCCAGTATCCATAGTTGCATCCTGTTTAGCAAAATGGTTACCTCAATTCAGGAGTTTCCAAATCAGGTTCAGTGATTTTTTAAGATTCACAGAATTCAGCCAAGTTGTTATTCTCATAGTTGTTTATAGAGAAAAGATATAAAAATCAGTGATGGCAAGTCACAGACAGGATCTGGGTGATACCAGTCACAGGCTTCCAGTCTTCCTTCTTCATAGAGTTAGGCAGGCAATGTTTTAATTTTTTTCCAGCAACAATGTGTTCCCACTAAGGGAAGCTCACCCAAGCCTTGGTATACAGAGTTTTTGTTAGTAATAGGTCACATAGGTATGGCTCACCACCTGGGTGTCTGATTTTAGTCTCCAGCCCCCCAGAGGGTAAGCTTATTGTGGCCTGAGGCCCCTGTAATAAATCACACTGAAGGTTTCAGATTTTAAAAAGCCATTCTTTTTTTCTTTTCTTTTTTTTTTTTTTTTTTTTTTAAGAGGTGAGATAAATAAGGGGTTGAACTCAGGGCCTTGTGCTTGTTAGGCAGGTGCTCTATCACTTGAGCCAGGTTTCCAGCCCTTTTTGCTTTAGTCATTTTTTTCAAGTTGGGTCTCGAATTTATTTCTGATTTTCCTATTTACGTTTCCCGAGTAGCTGGGATGGCAGGCACACATCACCACACCCAGCTAAAAAAGAAAGCCACTTCTTGAAAGGCAGAATACCTCAGGAGCTTAGAGGTTATCTTTCTGGTGCCAGACAAGTGCCAGACCTCCCTTTGAGAGGTGCAAGGTTTGGACAGCCTAGGCCTGTTAATTTAATCCTTTTCTGCACACAGACTCCTCACTCACATCAGCACTTCTCTGCCATTTTTTTAAAAAACAAGTTTCCAAAAGACATACAATAGCCATTTAAAGCCATTCAGCAAATCTGGCAATATTCACAAAAGAAAAAGTTTCCTCTGAAAACTCACATTCAGTTATATTTGCATTAGATCAAATAGCAGCTTACATCATACATTTACCTTTAGACTGTAGAAGGTGAGACAGAACTGTCTCACTCTTGTGTTTAAGGGGATTTGGCTCCCAATCCCCAGTCCCTTGTTTCCTTTCTGAGTAAAATTAAGTTTGAGCTAATGGAGTCAGCATCTTTCTTTGGACCAAATTCATCTAACAAGGGCTCTTACTGGACTAGGATCAAGGGTCAGAATGTTATCATCTTTATTTATTTATTTGTGAACATTTTTAAAATTTGTTTCCTGTTAGGCACTTTGTTTACTAGATTATAAAAGTTTTTTTTTAAAGACACACATCTCAGAGTTTAAGAAATGTAATAAATTGTTTGTAGAATTTTAGAAACCAGAGCAGTTTTGAAGCTTTCTGGGGCAAGCCAGGGTTACCTTGAGTGCTCTCTTTGGCTCAGGTATTGAATGAGCTCAGAAGTGATGCCGAGGCTGACTGGAAATATCTAGGCTGTAATCTGAAGGTCTGGTCTTTGTAGTGATTTTGGCTTAAAAACCATGCAACACTTAACATTTTAAACATCTTACTAACAGCAAGAAAAAAAAAGAAAAGAAAAATTGTCACTTAAACTATAAAATAAATTTTCTTTCTTTCTTTCTTTTTTATTTTGTTTTGTTTTGTGCTTGGGATGGAACCGAGGGCCTCGTGCCATGCTAGGCATGGCATGCTCTCTACCACTGAGCCACATCCCCAGCACCCAGTCCTACAAATACATTTTTAATGCCTTGTCTTTTAAAGAAAATTGAATCTGTGTGTTTATACTTCTGGGTTTTGCTCTTTTCACTAAACATCATCTGAGCAACATCATTTTTGCAGGAGGGTGTAGACTTTATTTCTAGGTATAAAGATCCTCTCTTTACAGGGGTATGATATGGTGAGGGGCAGATCACTGTTTTCTGTTTGAAAGTGACTTTTTGCAACATTTTGTGATTGGGGGGCCCCTTAAGGTGTCACTTTATGGCCAACCTGGGAGCATCTGTGTCCCTAGAGAAGGATCAGTAGGCTTGGGGAGAAACTCTGAGCAAGTTGGGTGCTTTCGGGGATGAGTTGATGCCGAGGGATGCAGAACTCCCAAATTCTGAGGATAGACTGTCTCACTGAGCAAATGTACTTGAGCCTTGCAATGTACAAAATGATAGGAGTGTGTGGCCCATGATATGGTTGTTTTCAGCAACTGTGGGTTACACAGAGCTGAGCTAACATCATTTCCGGGATTGACTGAGTCTCTCCTTTGCCCCTTCACCACAGAGCTCTCTTGCAGAGACCCTGGACAGCACTGGCAGCCTAGACCCCCAGAGGTTGGACATGATTTATACCATAGAAGATGTTCCTCCCTGGTACCTGTGCATATTTCTAGGGTTGCAGGTAAGATGGTTCCTTCAGGATATGTAACTACTATCAGGTGCTTCAATGGTTTACCAGCTGAGTTTTTGAAAATTTTAATTTTGATTATTTGTCGAAGATTTATTATAAATTTTAACATAAATTTTATAATAGCTGAAGGAAGAAAAGAACTGGAAAGAGAAAGAAGGAAAAATGTACAGTGAACAAGAAAGAGAAGTGATATGAAAGGAAGGGGAAAAGGACAGTAGAAATAGAAAAGAAGGCTGAATAGAGAGAGAAGAAAAGCAGAAGTGTAAAGGGAATTAATTTTTTCTCCATTCCCTGGCCTCATTAACCAATCCACAAGCTTTACCATGAAATATGAATGACCCCAAAAAGTGGATCACTTGTAATTATGACCTGTTGGCCAGGACATCATTGGACGATCTTATCTTTTAAAGGAAGGGGAATTCATAGTTTTGTCATCTACCTTGTTGCAGTTTCCATTGAGAGGAGAGGATGGATGGGCTGGGGATGAGGCAGGAAGTGATACAAGCTGGTGGGGGTCCCCCACATCCTCCTTTCTCTTTCTCACCCTACCTACAGGAGTGAAGTGAACTGTGGAGGTAAGGGACAAAGCAGGATAATGGATGAGGTTCTTTCCTCAGTGGCATCCCTCAGCCTGTAAATGCTCTATTGTTTCAGCTTGGACCATGTCCCCAGGTCTGAGTTTCCATGCCTCCTTGTTCAAGTTTGTGTGATCAGTTCCCTTAAGGTTTCTTAGATGTTTTGGAAATTGGTCCTGTTGTCCAGGCCTGAGTGTTTACTTGGAGCTGGGCTATGCCTGCTGACTACTGGTGGTTTGGTTGGGTTTCCAGCACCCAACCTCCCATAGGCATCAGAGCTTATGGCAGTCTGGGTAGAAGGTGTTAGTAAAGAAGTAGTTGGAGCCAAAGATGCTGAATGCTCTTGGCAGATAGCTAAACCCTTGGCTGAGTATCCTGAACCAGGTTCAAGAAGCATGGTTTTCGGACTTTTTCTGTTATACATGTTTCTAGAAGTCTCTCCTGGTCAAATAGGGGCAAAAACCCTGCCTACTGTCTTCTTGGCAATATATAGTAACACAACTTGTAAGTGTCTCTGAGAAGCCCCAAGGAAGAAAATTTTGCCCTTCTGACACACCTGTACTGTTAGGCTTCATGAGCTTTAGGCAGCATGTTTGGTAGGCATGGAGAGAAATAAGAAGCTGTGGTAAAGAAAAGGAGGAAGTTAACAGAAATAAGAACCAGAAAACCAGAGAGAGAGGGAAATAAGCCCTGAGTGCAGGGGCTGCCCTGCCAGCGCCACAAGGAGTGGGGATGGGGTCCCCAAAGGAAGAGCAAGGTGAGGTTCTTTCTGGAGGATTCCTATGGTTATTGTGCCCTTGACCCTGCCCTGACTGAAACAGATGAATTCACAGAAAAAGATGGAAAACACCCTGTGCAATGAAGCTCATGCAACTTTAATCCCAGACCTGAAAGAAAACACACACTCCATAGACTTAATTATCTTAGAAATGTAGATGTGAAATAAACTAAACCTAGAAGAAAAATACAGCACAGCTAACTATGGTTTGCTTCAAGAATGGTTCAATACAACCCAGTTCACATTAATAGTTTAGTGGAGAAAGGCCCTATAGTTTTAGCAATTGAAAGAAAAACTTTGGGGAAGAAAAAAGCAAATACCTTCTAGTAAGAAACATAAGCTTGTGTTGAACTTCCCTTGCGCTGGCATACATCATAATGTGGTGGGTAATAAGGCAAGAAAACACAGTGAAAAGAAAAAGATGTGCTTTGGTATATGATAAGAATGTATAGCTTAAAAGATCAGAGATTCTTCATGTAGGTAAAGCTATCAGGGCAGCAAAGTTAGGATGAACTCAGGAAAAATGAGGGAGGGTTTACTCTTTCTCTGCTTTGTTTCTCCTCTCCCCCACAGCACTACCTGACATGCTTCAGTGGAACAATTGCAGTGCCCTTTCTGCTGGCTGATGCCATGTGTGTGGGGTATGACCAGTGGGCCACCAGCCAGCTCATTGGGACCATTTTCTTCTGTGTGGGAATCACAACATTGCTTCAGACAACGTTTGGATGCAGGTGAGATTGGGGTCTTAAAGTGGGGTTGATGCCCCAGTAAGTCACTGAGCCATGCCATTTGCCCATAGTTGCTTAGAAAAATTAGGTGGAGTTGGGGGAGTGGCCATTGGTCCCTCCTCTACCCTGTAGGGTCTCCCCTTTCCCACATTTTTTCTTTTCTTGGTGGAGGGTACTACCGCTCCCAGTTGTGCAAGCTGGAGACTCAACCTCTGAGCTCCTTCTGTCCCCTGGATGGCAAGGTACATCCCATTTCCAGCATACCACCAGGGTTCCAGTTGGTCTCCCCTGTTTCCAGGGCTCCTCTCTCTGACCTTTTCTGTGCCCTACCTCTGCTATCTTTCTACTATTTTGCATCTTTTTGGGCTGGCCAGGCTGTAGCTCTATTCTTTGTTTAAATTAAGATGTCCCTGGTGTCCAGTTTGTCCCTTGCTCTCTGCAAAATTGTCCTATGTTTCCAGACATGCCCCTGAG